GATACTCAATCAATACTATTATCATTATTATTACGATTATTACTATATTATTATTATTACAATCATATTATAATAATTATTATTGTCATCATCATCATTATTACTCTTTGACTTAATAGCTTCCCATTTCTCTATGGCGTCAATAGTTCATAGATCCTTTAAATAGTAGTCCAGGTGTGCTAATTGCCTATGTGATGTTGTGTGACGTCATGTGAACACCATAGGACATCCAAATCTCACACCAACTCAACGTATATCATAGTGCCATGTTAATGTTATTTCTCTCTTTCAACCCCCCGCCCTCTTTCTTTGCCTGATCTCATGTCATCTCGTTTTTTATTTCTTCATTAAATCCGTAACTCGGAATTACAAAATTTTATCTTCTCATGCATAGTTTTGAGAAATTTGGCGTCAAACTTTTAAGTTTCACAATAAGTCAAGTTTTTTCGAATGCAATTCTTTTAATATCTTGATAACGGCTCCGATTATTTTTACGATTGTTATAGAGCTGATAGAACATTTGGTTTCTGACGCCATGGTCTTGGTAACCAAAAACGGCCCAAAAAGTCAGATAGAAATGTGTAATTCTAAGGTGACGAAATGTCGCCACTAAATCGCTACCTCAGAATTACATAGTTGTAACGGACAGTTTTGCCCCGTTGTGAGTTACTTAAACCATGAGGTCAGAAAGCTGATACTCTCTCAGCTCTTTCAAACACGTATTGTCAGACCACCCAGAGTCGTTATCAGGATATTCAGAGAATTGCATTCGAAAAAGTTTGACTTGTGAAAAAAAAAAATGACTTCAAATTTCTCAAAAAATAAGTAGTGAGCAAATAGAATTTTGTACTTCTGAGGTAGCGACATGTCTTCACATCTTATCTCATGACACATCACGCTATTCAGATGGGAACTCCTCTTATTTTTATTCTCCTCCCCTGTTATCTCATGTCAACTCCGCTAATCTTATCTCAAACTGATTTCATCTAATCTCACCTCAGCGGGTGGTTGGTGGGTGATCTGGTGTGGTTTGCTCCTTCTTTTCTATTATACATCAGTCGTCTTGATCTCTTCTCTTTCTTTTTTGTGTTTGTTACTCTCTTGTAACGCCTCTAATCTTCGGCACTTATATGACCTTATTTTGTTGAAATTGCCGTACAACTCTTATGACTAAAACAACAAAATCTCACTTCAACTTATCTAACTAATATCGTCTCATATCATCACAGCTCATCTGCTACCTGCTCATCTCAACTCAGACTCTCTTCATCTAATCTCATCTCGTCTCGTCTCATCTTAGCACATCTTTTTTTATTTTCTCGATCTGATCTCAGGTCCTTTCCTCTCCACCATTCTCATTTCCTCTCCATTCATTGTCGTAGAAAGCGTTCCTTATTCTATTACTTTTTGACGTAGACAGCTTTCCTTATTCTATTACTTACTTTTTTGACGTAAAAAGCTTTCCTTTTTCTATGACTTGCTCTTTGACTATTGAAAGCGTTCCGTAAACTATGATTTGCTCCTTGACGTAGGAAGCGTCCCTTATTCCACTACTTCCTTTTTGACGTAGACAGCTTTCCTTTTTCCAGGACTCTCTTTTTGACGTAGAAAGCAAGCGTTCTTTATTCTATGATTTGCTCCTTGATGTAGAAAGCGTTCCTTATTGCATGACTTACTCTTTGCCCCTCTATTCTCCTATCAATTTCATTAATTTAATCTCATATCCCCCCTCCCCCTCCCCCCACCACAGCTGATAGGCTTGACCATCGCTCTCCTGCCACTCCTACCTCCGTTTGATCACTGGGTCATCTACTCCACTAGTGGGATGTGCCTGGGGCTTCCTTTGACCAGTGAGAAGACACCTGGTTGGCAGTTCTCCTTTCTCGTCTTCATCGTTTTCAACTTCTTTCTCTTCATCTGTATCGCTCTGGGGCAGTTCATGATCTATAGGTAAGTTATTGTTTCGTAATGGTAATCTCAAGGTAAGTATGTATCTTACGGGATACATGCATACATACATACATACATACATACATACATACATACATACATACATACATACATACATACATACATACATACATACGTACATACATACATACATACATACATACATACATACGTACATACATACATACATACATACATACATACATACATACATACATACATACATACATACATACATACATACATACATACATACATACA